AAAAAAAAAAAAAAACACGCGAAAAATAACGATATTCAAATTAAAAATTTTAAAAACCTTTCACAAGTACAAAATAAATAAGATGAAAAACGCTTTACTGCGTACAGCAACACTTTTCGATTATACTTCAAGGGTTCAAAAGAAGAAATTAGAATGCGCTTTTACGCTTTGTAATCCTACTGAGAACTTTGGTAAAAAATTAGGTGAAAGGTTTGTGAGCTGCAGGAGATGAAGATTCTTAGATTTCGTCCACAAGCTGCAATTTCTGTGCTATGAAAAGCTTTACAAAACTCTTAATTTTTCAGAAGCAAAAGCCACCAACTTTACAGCACAGTTTTTAAAATGCGAACGTAAGGATAGAACATGTCAATACTGGACGGATTTGAATCAGAACGTGGTGCTTGAAGTTACTGGATAAAGAACTACTTCAAACAGTACAGGAAAGACAATTTTGTACGAAAATTTTCTGAGCCTACTGCTTTTTTGAATTTCAAATACCCGACTACGGAAAGAAAACAAACAGAGTAGTTTCCAGTATTCAGTCCTCCCCTGATGCCTAAAGTCTTTATTTAGCTACCCACGTCAAAATTCAAAAGTGGTTACGCTAAGTAAGGTAAATGTTTGTAAATATCAAAGCATACACAAACCACTATTTTAATACTTGTTAAGATCTAAAATACCAGTAAAACAAACTAAGAGAATATGCCTACCGAAACAACTTACACATAATGGACTAAAAATTTTGTCAGAATTAGTATTTCGGAAATGTTCCAAACCAGCAGCTGTCAAATTAGCAGTACTCACTTCATAGGTTCAGTTTCAGAGACAGTCCGAAAATTGATACCATCCATTTAACCCCGGGTTCTATATAACTTCAATAAAACAGCATCATCGTGATAACAATGCATTGCTGCTATAACTGATGCCAACTTGATGAAAACTACGTATTAAATATTTTCAGACCCGAACTGCAGAAGTGTTAAAGGAAAATGAGCATTAGCATTACAAAGCTGGATAAAGCAAAGTGGCGTACAGTTACGTGTAAGTCTGTTAGTGAGGAATAAACTTCACAAAGTTTTATCACGCCATCTCCCCGTAATCTGCAGATACGTCATCTACCGCCTCCGTTCATGAAGTTTGAGTGCATAGCAAAAGCAAAAGCACACGCAAGGATGACAGGAATTTTAGTTGAATGATTGAGCATAATTCGCGTCCCAAACAGCGGTGCATTGTTATCAGTATCCAATTAAGTAGTGAAAAAACTACTGTTTCCTACTTTTTGATAAGCTGCACAGAACAAATGATAAATTTGCTTTTAAAATGTTAACTTCCAGGCGAAATACCAGCAATTTATATCTACAGCAACGCAGTTTTTTTTCCTTTATTGAAGCTCTATCAAGATCTGGTGCCGCCGACGGATTTGGACGAAGCGGCAGTAAAGGTTTTTTGTAATTCAAAGAGCTGGACGGCAGTAGTGCATCTCGTTGTATTTGAGAAAAACGCCCTCCTTGACTCAACCGCATCAAATTTGCAAATTTCAGAGTAGAACAAATACTGCCTCCTCATCGAGAAAAAAAAAAAAAAAAACGAGAACCAACGTTTTTTTGGCATATCACAAAGCTCAGCCAAGAATAGGCTCCACAGTGACGGTACGGATATACGAAACCAAAACTGGCGTACTTGTGGAAATATGCCAAAATTTAGCAAACCACCGAGTTGAACGCGTGGTCTTCTGAAGGGATTTGGCGGTATGAGGGTCTATGTATATACACATCAGCATAGAAACTAGTCTTTCCGATATGTATACTCTCTACAATTATTAACTGAGTGATGATGGTTTGGCCGTCATACTGAAAACCTTACATACAGCTTGTCGGTTTTTTGTACAGAAGTATGAAAAAAAAAATTGAAGGCATTTCACAAGCGAAAAGCCAAAAAGGCTTGAGGTATGGGTGTTAGAAAAGCAAAATCCAAACTCTTTTGAACGTTTCGACAAAACGATCCTGCTTGAAGGGAGTATCGTTAGAAGCGGAGAAGGAAAGACAAGATTTCTAGATCTTGCAGAGTATAGCTATATATATTTTTTCGTTTCACAAAAATCCGTGTTAACTTATGGTAATCTTCAGATCATTATGAGGAAATTTCTAGTTGGGAAAAATGAGCAGTTTCAGCATCGCCTCTGAAAAAGGAAGTGGGATGCTTCTACTGTTCTGTAGTGAAACATCTTCATTCCGACGAAAAGGTTCGGTTGTTGATCCTTGCTGAGAAATAAATTTGTGCATTCTTTGGAATTGCGGAGTATAGAGAAGATCAAAAGTTAGAAAAAAAAAAAAACAGTGGAGAAGTCAATGGGAAATTCCTAGTTTTCTTTTTTTTTTTTTAAAGTTTTTTTTTTGGAACAGCTACGTTGGGAAGTATTATGCATGATTCTCGTGAAAAGAAGTTTTTTCAATAATAGTTCTTCAGAATGACTAAATTTTTAGAAATTTTCAATTTCTGGTTTTGTTAATCTTGACGATTAGAAGGGAAGAAAAGATGTGATTTGCAATTTCCGACTGCAACTTTAACACAGTAATAAAGCAGTCACTATTGTTTGCCTAAATTAATAGTAGGTAAGTACTGTTCAAGAAGAAGACTATAATTTTGAAAAGTAATCGGAGCCACAGTACATAAAGGTTTAATTTAAGTAGTAAAAACGGTGAAACATTTCTCAACGGTTTTCAGCAGCACTAAAAAAAAATTCAATTTCTGATTAGACTGCATGAGCGAAACGTTCTGTAGAGGCGAATATCTTGTTACAATTTATGTTTACTGACAATTTTTCCTTACTTGTTTTTATTCTTTCTGAAACAAATCTCTAACCCTATCGTTTTGAAAATTTTAGACGGCTCTATTGGATAAATATCTAAAAAACGCAAAACAGGCAAGGTTTTTTTTTATGAATCCGTTATCTCCACCGAACTTTTTGTGGAGCACATTTTCAGTTATTAATTGTAACATCTGTTGCAGACTTAATGGTATTCATCTGGTAAATTAATAATGACAGTTAATGTTATACATCGCTGGAATTCCATGATAAATATTGGAAAAGAGATTTAAAACTGATAAGTGGATGAAGCGATAATTTAGACGGCGATGATCAGCAAATTTAACCTTGATAGTTTGAAGATTCCATCTTCATTTTTTGCAAAACTCTTCAACCTTAAAATGTGGTACTCTTTAAATCCTCAAAATGGTCAAAGCAGTGAAGCGTTTTGTTAAGTAACATGAAGTAAACAAAGTCGAAGAGTTAAAAGACTGTTGAAAGACGGAATGTGATGATACAAACAACGGTAAGTGAATTTAGATTGAGGAACGCTGAAGAAAGCAGAAAAATTGTATCAAATGTTTCAAGTACTTGATGTTTTCTACACTACAAAATTTTTTTCATTTTACCTTGATTCTGCTGCTAAACTTATGACAGAATGATACATCCATTTTTGTGTAGAACAATGAATAGTATTATTATAACTGTATTATTCGACCTATTATGTAGAAATATGAATACACATTTAGCAGCCATTTCAGTTACGATAAACGAGTACTCATCTATCATAAACACCAAACTAACTTTGTAACAACTGTTTTAACTAAACTAAAAGTTACTAATGGACAACAGACGTATAAGAGATGCCAGCGGAAAACGATCAACTTTTTGCAACTTCAGATTTACGACGATGGATGTTTCAGTTGGGTTTCAACTACAACTTTATTGATAGTTCAGTTGAATGTGCGTTGCAGTAGTAATTTTTTTTTTTTTTTTTCATCCATGTTGCAAAATCATCTCGTTTCTGCATAAACTTATTATTTACAAACAACTCCTGCTATGATACTTTTTATTTACAATTTCAAAGTTAATCTTTAAAAATGATAAGCTTGAAACCACCAGCAGTATTGTTCAAAAACGTTGATAAAACGTTTCATTGTATACGATTTCTAACCGATTATCTCTCGCTGCCAATCATCAACGAACACTGGAATTTCCAGGATAATAAATTGGTCAACTAGGTAGCTGTCAGCAATTATTTGGAGCTAAAAAGGAACTGGGAAGATGAATGTCCGACAAGCATTATTGCCTATGTAAATAATCCAAAACGACTGCAAACTATCAATAAAACTCTTCTTAGAACAAATTTTTTTGCTTTCTTCTTTTTTGGGTGGTACACATCTGATCTGTCATCGATAGCATTTAAAATAGTTTTGCTGTATTCCTCAGTTTTAAATGATCCAATTGATTTTTTAATGGTACATTCTGCCTATCTTACCCCTTATAACATTCAAACATTTCAGATAGTTTTAAGTGCCAAAAAAGCCCCAATTCTTTAGCTACTGTTAAAATCTCACGCAAAGCTACAGAAAGTGTGAAAAAAAAAAACTGTTCACCTCTACTGGCTATTTTCTACGTTAATTAGGCTCAAGATGAACTGCGTTTGACAGTTGTGCAAAGGATATGGCGTTTAAGCAAATACAAGTCCTTATTATATTTGTTTTACTGTTAGCTATGACATTGTAACCAGTAATGAGATATGCATAGAACGTCTTACTTTAACCAAAGTTTAGGACGAGAAATTAGACAAAAAAAAGAAATGGATGTTATCTGTAAAGCGGTTCTGCAAAGTGCACGCTGTTGTTGAACTTTAAAAGTGCAAAATCGCTCAATTCCAGCACCTATATAAAATTTGGCATCAGAAAGGTTCAGTCGTTTCTGACGCTGTCACATATTACTTCAAAACAATTTTTTGAACCCAATTTGAATTTGTTTCTTGACGGACAGCTATATGAAGTACCAAAGAAGACTCTTAAATTATTGTTACGCTTTCCTTGCAAAGGGTTGATGATTTTTGCATTGGTTTTCTTTATCGGTTGCATTTTTTTTTTCTTTTTTTGTTTTCTGCACTGGAAGGGCTAGTCCTTGGTTTGGTATTTAGCATTTAGTGTATTTTTTTATCAAAATTTCTGGACTGCTGTTTCATTTTCATCCTCGCAGGATTAATTTCTTTACAGATGAAACCCTGTTAAAACAATAAAGGAAATTGTGTGCCGTAAAACCCGAATTAAGGGTTTTACAGGTTGATATAATTTTTACATTGGACCGGCATCTGAATCATCATATAAAACCAAACTTTCATTTGTATTCAGTAGCCTAGTTCCGGTTGTCAGGTTCTGGAGAGACATGACCCATTTATCTTTTACACTTTAGTTACTTTGCTAAACCATTACTTTACATTAGTCCTTCACTGCAGACAACGGCTTTGAAGAAAGTCAGCGACTAAAATAATATATATTTTTTTTTGTTCATCATCTCTTTTTGGAGGCGAATTTATTATCATCCTCTCTACCAGATCATTCACCCCTCTCTTCTCCTCCCTAGTTTTACTTGTTCCGTGATTGCCGACTTCTATGTATCTGCTTTCACCTTCATCAGGGTAGAAATGAACGACAACGGTCGGTATAGCAGTTGGTTATTTTAGGACTGTTATCAAAAATAAGACGATGGTTTTAGGAATTCCATCCTTTGCTCTCAGTACAGCACAAAGACCAGCTTCGAAAACTATTGCAGTTTATAGTATTCGCGCATATTTTCCTTCTTTTTCTTGCATCTTTGCTTCTATACATCTTTCTTATGCAAAGTTCCTGGCTACAACCTAATCAACTATCAAGGTTCTAGAAAACATCTTCAAAATTTTACTTAGCTTTTACTCGAAAATTTAAATTTTGCAAGAGTTAAACTGTTTATTGCACTAAACAAAAGCTAAAAGTGATGTTCTGTAAAAATGAACAAGTTACAAAGTTAAAAACTAGAATTTTGTAAAGCAGTATCAAAAAGATATATACATAGACTTCCATGAGGTAAATAGAAGTTGTTGGGATAGATGAAAGAAAAGGGAAGAAATACGCATACAAAAATGCTGCTTGTCTAGAATTACCAAGCATCCTTCGCAGGAAGCCATAAGGAATCCTGTCTGAATTCCCAGGACAGGGATCCCAGCAAAAACTACAGATATTATTGTCATTGACAGTATAATTTGGCAATCTAACCTGAAACTGTTACCCCTAACTCACCTGAAGAACAGTTTCAATAAGAGACGAAAAATTGCAGGGGGTTTACGCTTGGAAAAGATCTCCCGCACTGCACCGCACTAAAACAGGACGTTTTACCGTGACGACAGTTACTTCATAAGTATTTTATGGCTATAGTTTTTATTTAGTTTTTTTTTTTTGTCGATTTCTAGAAAAAGCCTTTCGAAACAATGATTTTACACGCTCTGTAAAAGAAGTAAATCAAAATCTCGCTCGTAACTACCTTGATGAAAGATTTTTTTGAATGTTTTTTTTAATTTTATGGATCTTAAAACATGGGGCCGAAAATAGTGTAGAATCTTGTTTGCAATTGTAAATAGGTCAGTTTGGTGAGTAGGCTTTTACAAGTAAAAGCATTTTGTTGAGAGGTAATCTCGAATTGTATCTAAAATTTATTTTACAAACTTTTATAGCAGGCATAAGAAGCTTAAATTCTCTTTTAAAGTAAGTCTATCCTCAGTAGTGGATAACTTGGCACTGAATGACCATATGAAACACTAGTCACTGCGTAAGAAAAAAGCTAACATTTTTCAAGTTAGGTTGAGCAAGAATACCAAAAGCTGGATAAATAGACGGCAAAAAATTCTCATTACACTTAACTTCCGTGTTTTTTATTTATCTCTTCAATGCACCATTGATTGGTTTTTGGATAGGATTGTTGCCGCTGGTGAAGTATTTCTGTAAGGATAATCGGAAAAAATTATCAGTCGGCAGTGGACCAAAAGAAGTGTTTAAACTCTCTTCTGCTGATCAACTTTTTAGATCTAATGATGCGCAATTTCTGTTGCCAAAAATTTTCTCCTGTAGTATTGACAACCTTATTTTAATTTTCAGTTTTTTGATTGTGCTTAACTGAATTTATAACCTTTAAAAAATTAGATTTAACTATGTTAAGGTTTACAGCTACTCTATCCAGTTTGTATTGTACCGTTTTGTGAAGCTTTATGGATTGTTTGATTTATTTTGTAAGTCGTATTTGGAAACGAAATTTTTTTTCTTTTTACTTTTAGTCATTAAGTGTTATATAGTTGGCTTATCAGTCGGAAAAGTCGTATTTTTGTCAATCAGTAGGTCCTTCTGAATGCAGACTTTTTTCTGCTCTAAAATTTAATTCAAAACAAGTCGTTCTGATTTTACTTGGCCACTTTCTGACATTCTTCTGCTTATGTTTAAGTTGTATCGCCTTATAAGTGAAGAGAACGATTCGCCCTTGAATACTTTTTATTGTTTTTGATTTAGATACGTTTTTCACTAATTTATTCCATAAAAATTACTGTTTTTGCGTATTCCAACTATAAATTTTTCATTTATTCCAACACTTTTATAGGTCTCAAAGAAATATTTAAGAAGGATCTGAAATCCTAAATCATTCCTGTTATACATTGAGCAGGTCATCTTAAACTGCAATATTTTAACGAAACTGTTGCTGAATATTGTTCTAGAGAAATCGGCTAGTATTCCATAATACAGTCGTTAGGAACTTGGAAGCTAGAGTATTATGCTACTTTGTCTCTAATTTCGTGGTTGACCTCCATATCTACACGCATTTCTATACGGTTCCTCAATGAGTGAACTGCAAGTCCTTGCGAAAGGTTCGTTTATGCATTTCAAATAAGCAAGATTTCTTTATTTAGAAATCCAGAAATCCAAATGGTGAAATGAAAGAAGCTCAAAGGCATTTTCATTTTCTTGTTGAGCTATGGGTTTGTTAGATTTTGCTAATTTTTATGTCTATTGTTTTCTTCATTTATTACAAAAATTTTAGACTTGAATAACAAATGTGTTCTAGAAATAACAAATGTGTTCTGCTGCAACATCACATATGGAAGATCAAGCAATAACTCTCAAAGAATGGTTTTCGTATTTGTGTGGAACGAGTCTGAAGAAACGTGATTCTTCGGTATGACTCGTTTTTATCCCCTCATTTTTAATACACAATGCTTTTACTTCTCTGCAGCTAATTTTTCTAATTTCAGGGTTTGTTAGATAATGTCTTGCGGATGCTTGACAACAGCAGTTTTCTTCGTTATTTGTTTTCGGAATCATCGAATTATGGAAGCAAAATTTTAGTACGACATGCAGCTGTTGTGGCTACAAAGGTAAAATTGTTGCAGTAATTTTTAAGCACATTTGATGTTAAGCGATTTTTTAAATATGATTTCCATGGAAGTGAAATTTGGAATCAACATTTTCTATGTTTTAAAAAACTAATACCAGGAGCTAGTTGAGAATCGTGCTGTGAAAAGCATTAGGTCGTTTAAACGTAAGGCTTTTGATGCGCTGAAGATAATCCTCTCATTCCACTTTGACCATCGTCCTAAGCGAAGAGGTAAATGATTCTTCTACTGCTCTTTACAACTCTTCAAAATTACTTTTGGAAATGTTTTAGTCTTCATTCTGCCTTTATCATTTTACTTTTTGATCCAGTTCCCTGTTCTGTGTTAACTTTTTATCTATAAAGGCACGGTTATAAAGAAATTCTTTACTCTATTGCTATAATTTAGTTGTATGTGTAGAAGGAAAACTACATCACCGTACAAATCTGTTTCAGAGGGTGCTTGTTTTTTACATTTCTTCCACTTGCCGTTTCGTGTAAATTTCATATTTCGATTAATTTCATCGTTTCCTGCACAGGTTTGCAGAAGAATGGTGTTGTTTTATCGGATTTTTTGGATTCTCTTATTCAAATGCTTTGTTATCCAAAGGAATTACGAGGTTCTCGGGAGCTTACCCCAGTTTGTTTTGATATTGTTGCTGAAACTGTTGAACTGTTATATCGCGCTTTTCAGTCTTTCCACATATTCGAGGCTCACTCCAGTCAAATTCGAAGTATTTTGATTTTAATTTTTTTTACCTTTTTCTTTGTTTTGTGGTAAATGATAAATATCTTTTGTTTTTTAAGAAATTTTCATATTTGAAGACACAGTTTTTGGTTTAAAGTTTTTTATGTTCGGAAACCCTTTACTTTTTTGCGATGAGTGGAGAGTGGAGTCTTTTAAGGATTGTGGAATGAAGTTACTTCTCTTTTCGATGATCTTTTGACAAATCATGAACAGCCGGCAATTCGTCGCATGTGTACAAATGTGATGTTGATGATGATCCGAAAAGCTCATTATACTTTCTTCCTTTTCAACTCTAGTGACCTGTTCAACAAAATCGTTTCATTGTTTCGGAAGTTTTTGTATGTTTTGTTTCCGTAGAAAAATTCTTATCTTTCAGATATCTCCTGTCATTATTAAACATTTTCATTCAGGAGTGGCCGTTATGATCGAGAAGAAACTTCGACGAATTTTTTCATTATATTCACTCTGTTGCTTAAGAATTTCGTTTTCGAGCGGCGATTAGATATTGTGAATGTGAGGTTTTTTACTTGCCTCTAAGGAAAACAACTTAAGGCTACAAACGGTTCTTTAAGGAGTTTGGCGATATAGTAGCGGCAGTAACCGTTAATAATGCTGTCTTATGGTCAAAAGATGCATTAATATGGCACGACCGCCTATTTCCAGAAGGAAAATCAAGTTTATTTTTTCATCAAGTACGACTTTCACTTAATATCCTGATTTTAGTAGATATTGCAGTTATTATTCTTGAGCACAGCGAATTAAGCACTTTAATTTTCTCTGTGTAAGATTTGTTGGGGGATACGGATTATTGCAGAAAGCGCTATTCGAGTTTATTGATAATTTTCTCGCCTTATGTTGCCCTGATTGCTGTACAACTTATGCTTTAAACAACGGGTTCATAAAATCAGTTGCTGATTTAGTAGTTGAAGCGGCTGTGGAGTTCTGTTTGGAGCATTGTGCGCCTGAGAAATCAGCTTATCGGTTTGAGAACTGTCCATATTTTACTTGTTTTTTCTTTGTTCAGGCGTTGTGACTAAAGTTCTTTGAATACTTTGCTGAAGGGTGTTACTTATTTTGCAGAAAGAGTACGGTATTAATTGCGGAAGAGGCTCTTAGTCTGGTTTCACGTTGTTTTTGTCTTAATCACGTCTTACAAGAAGAGAAATCTGTCAAGCGTCCTCGACGATGTCCTCCCCTTCTACTTATGCTTGAGTATTCAAATGTTTCAGCGTAAGTCTTCACGTTGCTATGCCCGTAGATTGCTTGTGAATTTTTGAAAATTTTTTGGTTTTTTAAGGCAATTAATTTTGTTTAAATTGCTTTTTGTTTGGAAAAACTTGGACAATTTTTTTGTTAGAACATGAATAAAGTTCAATTGCTTTAACTAATTTTTAAAACAGTAGCCACAAGCGGTTTAATTGATCGCCGATTTTTCCTAGTAAAAGAACTGAATAGTGAGGTCGCAGTTTTACAATTTTTATGTTAGGCTTCAAATCATCAAAGCCACGTTGGAGAACTGGAGTCATCGGTTGCATGGAACCTTTAAAAGCAGACTTGCTAGTGAACTTATTAAACAAACGATTTCCAAAAAAATGTAAATCCTGTAACTTTTGTCTTTTTTTCTGTATTGCTTTATTATTTCATCAGTTTCTTGTTGATCATTTTTTCTTAAGGGAAGATCTTTTTCCATGGTACCTGAGATGCTGCAATGCTTTCTTTGATAAAGAGATTATTTTGATGTTGGATCAAGAATCGTGTTCTACGCTGTGGAAATTCGTTCTAGCTTGTTTGCATCCTCCTAGCACTACGGAATCTGCAGCTTATTTGCTTGCTCGAATTATTTCACCTTGTTCGTTACTTTTCTGCATTTGAAAGTACACAATTTCTTGCAGAATTCTTTACTTATTGTTTTATTTTTAGGTAGTAAAGCTTTAAATCTAGACGATACATTTGTAGTGGAGTTAGTGACTAGCAATATCTCAAGGCTAAGTGTTATTCCAAAATCAGTTATGAGCCTTATTGCAACTATGCTGAGCCAATTTGAATTTGATGAACGCATGAAATTCAGGTATAAAAGTTCAATTATGCAGGTCCATCGGTGAAAGAATTTTACTCTTTGTTTTCAATAACTGGAGATGAGGTTTAATATTACTTATTTTTCAGCAATTATTTGTTTTTGCAAACGGTTTTTGTCACTGTTTTAGAAATAGGCATTTTTCATTCTGTTTTTTTTACCCCTTAGTTCAGTTTATGGCAAAGTTCAGTAAGACCATTTATTTCTTAAGGTTGTAGTGAAAGCATTTGCAAATTTTAAAACTGGGGTATTATAGCATTTCGGAGCTAATCTGTTGTTCGGAGTGGCGTTATCGATGCGAGATAATAGAGTTTATCTTTGGTAACATCCCTATAACAGAAATTCCGCCAGAAGCAGTGATAGAAATATGTCGTTATATACCCTCTTATAGTTTACCAGAAGCTAACATCAGAGGTTTGGCTGGAATTCCCTGGCTTTTTTTTTTAAACATATGACCCTAAGTTATCAAACTCATAAAGATATAGGGTGCTGGCAGATTTTTTTCCTTACTGTTTTAAACCTTCACAGATGTGTGTGATATGGAAAAAAACTTTATGAAGTTATTCGGGATTGCGTGGAAAAATCCCTATCCTGATTCCACTGAAGCTAATGGTTTTTTTGTTGCTGAGGTGCAAAATTTCCTTGCCGAACAGCTGGGCATTTTGTGGAAAAATGCTGGTGGTATTGCTGACGTCGAAAAGAGAAGTAATATTTAAAAAGACTTAATTACAAACTTTTTCGACTTTATTTTTTGTCACATTTTGATTTAGAAGTAAAACAGATACAGATATGGAATTGGACCAGCTTGTTGCTGTACAAATTTCGGATCATTGGTGTCAGTGGGGAGCTAAACACTTTTTCTTCACTTAATGATGTAGATTTTGGTATTTTTTGTACTTTACAATACCTCGCTTCTTTGTTAAAAAAAACTTTTCTATATGATCGGTATTCAGGAAACGAGTAAAGTTCTTTCGAATTTGATCTCAAGTCAGTCGTTATCAACTGACGCTTTATCAGCTTTGGATATTCATGAGGCATGGAAGTACGTTAGTGATGAAGTTCGTGACGCAGTTTGTAGTGCAGTCACAAACTACAGCCAACTGTGCGGCTACGCAACCTGGTTTGGGTTTGCAGTGGATGAAGATTTTCTGGTGCTGCTTTTAAAATTTTCTTACCGGTATTGGGGATAAGATAGCTTACAATTTTTGAAAATATTAAATTCAGCCTGAGCGTCTATCTGCTGTTTCAGATGGACGTGTTTTATGAAAAATGCTTGTTTGAATCTAATTATATCACGTACGCTCTGCAGATGTGTCGCAGCAGTAGCACTGTATACGACGCGATTTATCTTTTCGAACATTTTGCTCCTTCTCTAAACGATGAGCAAAGGGAGGAGTTTTTGAAGTTACTCGAGTATTTATTTTCTGTTATTGAGGTTTTATGTTTTATTTGTTTTGTGGTGGTGTCACTGATTTTTTTGATCCAGATGCATGCAGAAATTTTTTGTTCTTTTTAAAAATTGACTCTTTTTTGTGAGACATCTTTATAATTTTACGGGCTGTTATTGGGAGCAGCGGAATAGAGGTATTATACAAAGATGTTCTAGTTAATTGTAAGTCAAAGTCTAACAGGAAGTTTTGTCAATATAAGAATATTGGTTTCGCTCGCTCTTGTGTAAACTTATGTGTTCCAGTGTATTTGTTGACTTTTCGGAGGACTCGGCGAGCTACTCCGACTCGAGTGTGCCTGCCAGTGAGACTGACCGTACGGTTTTCAAACGGCTAGTTGCGGACGTCATATTAAAATTCTTTCCTGTATGGCTCCATAAGTTCTTGTACAGTGGACAACTTTTTTCTTATATGTTTTTAGTTTTATCTTATTTTATTTTGCTTCATTTTATTTTTTTTTGGATGCTTTTCGGTTTTCAGACATCAAAAATCTATTAATTTTGACCAGTAATTTGACAAAGACAGCCAGTTCTGGGATCGTGAAAATCAGCGAACTTTTTAACATTGTAATTCGTATCCTCCTTTCTGAACATCGGTTTTTAAAGTGTTTTTTTAGGATGAAGACTTAGTAAAATACAAGGAACTTCTTTGCGAGGGATCTCAGCAGCTTGTAGTATTGCGTGCAACAAATAAATGGCTAACTGAAAAGGACCTCGTAAAGCTTTTGACTTCAGAAAGTCTTGATGAGGAAATACGTGCGCATCTTGCTTCATATATACTTGCGACTCCGTTATTATACTCTATTCATTTGCCTGTAATGGAATATCTAATCAACGCTGGATCACTGTATCTTCACGAGGTATTGTTGTTCACAGTTAAGCAAAAATCTTTAATTGTCTGATGTTTTTTTTCTATCGTTTCTCAAGTTTAAATGCTTCCCCTTTATTTTGAATTATATTCATTCGAACGAAAAATGAAACTATCTTATTTTACTCAAGATTACTACTTTAGACAATCACATTAGATAGATTTCCGACTACTTCATGAAATTTTCAAATTTCTGACCAAATTCCAATAATAAATTATAGATAATAAAATCGATGTTCCCCGATCTTGATAAGGTAGTCAAGCTTTTTACTGTTCCACTTGCTTATTATTATATACGAAGAAATTCGCCAGTGTCTCCTAATTTTCTTCCTCAAAGTCTGTTCAGGTAAAATTCTTTTGAATGGATTTGCGAAGTTGTTGAGATAGTATTTACAAGCTGTATAGGAAATCATTCCTTTCAAAATAATGCGTCATATTTTGCACTTTAATTTCTTTTATTGAACAGTTTGAGGGGTCGAAACTCAAGTATAAAGATCACTACTGTTAGATCTAATGTTTTTTTTAGTCGACTTCTTCAAGAAGTTGAATCTCAGCGAACTGGTACGCAAACGCTTGCATCTGTATTAGATGGCAATTATGAAGATCTGTCACTGAATCACATAAAACACTTATTCTTAGAGGAGAAGAAAGGGTAGGTTGTATTTTTTTTAATTTAAGTTTTTCAAATTTCGACCTGAGTACAGTACATGAATGAGCATCTTTTAGTTTGCGAGTTTTGTTCCAAAACAAAGTTTTTAATCAGAGTTTATTGGCACTTGCAACCACTTATCCTTGTTGGTATTTCGTTGCTTTGCGTGATTTGCAAACCTCCTGTAATTCATTAAATTATGGCCCACTGGTTCTTTACTCCCTTCAACTCACTTTGTCATCTTTTCTGTCGAATCTTGGTGGTAGTCGACGGAACGTGTCAAGTTCGTTGAAAAAATTTATCGTGAGAAATATCGTATCAATGTCTCGCTCCTCTCTGCAGAGTTACCTCGAAAGGTTACAAGCTCTTAATAACTGCACAACTTATATATGTTTCATATTTGAACTATTTAAGCTGCTTTACCACAATATTTTAAACTCAACGCTTCTAGAAATGAACATTTAATGGATTTATTACCAGCTTGGTTAGAAGTTTTCAATTTACTCTTATCATTTGATGAGGAGACGACTAAGATAGAGGCAGCCATCATTTTTGAAGTATTTTCGACTGCTAATGGCTTTATTGAGTATGCCAAATCTTCTCCGGTAGTATCGGAAATCTTAGACAGGCCTCGTGCAGTAGACTTTGGAGAGGTAGGTTGAAGTTTGTGGGATTCGCTTTGATCACTTTATTAGGCGCAGTTTGTGAAGTCACCATCTTTTAATCCATTTGGTTTTCTTTGGATTATTCGAAATCGTTTTGGCTTTTAAATCAGGCAGTATATTGCTTTCGTTGCATAGGCTTTGAAGAATCCTGTCATATCAACAACTGTTCTTTCTCAAAATTTTTGGTCAGCGTTGTATATGAGTTTACTGTCGAGAGAAAAAGAACCTTTAAGTGGTTAGTTTCAGTTTTAACCTTACCGAAGAACCAATTTTCAGTTAAAACTTTTTTTGCAAAAAATTTAGATTTTGAATAATTTGGCTTATAAATTAGTTGTTTTTCCACTTTAGAGAGTGAAATACAGAGACTGATGTATATCTGGATGCGATATATTCCTCTTCGTGGATCAATAATAAGAGTGATTGCTTTTTCTGGCTGTGTACAACGAAGGGCTGTTTTTGCATATTCAGATGTCTCTATTGCTTTGGATGTCTTCATAACGTCATCTCTTTTGGAGATTTTCTTAGACCCATTGTGAGTTCACTCCCCTTCATTTGTGGGTTAGTCACTGTCACTTTCATGGGTGTTGGTCGAGGTTTATTAAATTTTTCATTTTTAGTAAGAGTTATCCAGCTTACGTTTATGCCAGTATCTGTGAGATTTTAGCTGTCGAAGAATTGAGCGAACAGTTGGGAGTTACACATTTTTGTACGAAGCCGGAAGGCTTTCTGGTATTATTTGATTATTTTTTTGTCTTTTGTCTGTTTTGGGCAGTGGAGAGGGTATAGTAGATGTTGATCCGTTAAAATTACCAGAGGAAATATGTATTTAAATAAATTATGGAGCTTATGCTGAATGTTTTGAGTTCAAAATTGTTTTTAAGTTTATTAATTATAAGAGCAGTCTTTTTTCTGATAGGATTCGGTTATTGTGGCTAATACAATCATTATTTTACTCTGATGTTACTGTATATTTTGCTTCTTATTATCACACTTGAAAGATTTTTGGATGCGCATTTTGTAAAGAACGGTGTTGTCTTTTATTTAGTTAGAGACCCAAGTATCCTACTTTAATTGTGCTGCTTTTTTGGAAGACAGATTGGCAAATCTTACTTCCTTCATCGTTCATACTAAATCTCGTCCTGTTTTCGACTTTGAGTTTTTTCACCGTTGTTTCAAGATGATGAGTCTCTCACTGGTTTAAGAGTGTTATAATGAATGGCATGAGTCGTTGCTTTGCTGCAATCAGGTTGCTGGCTTATAAATAGATGAGACTCGTAGTAAACTTTTTAAGTTTAACTCGTTTTTCGCAGATCTTGCCTTGTTTCGTATTTGAGAACTTATTTTTTGAAACGTATTTTTGAAAGAAAGCGAACGGAGGAA